GACATGTTGATTATTTTATTTCTTTCTTTATTTAGGGGACTTCTATGCCGCCCCATTCGCCAAGCCTCGGGGCGGCTCACAAACCATAAATAAATAGAATACAATAAAACTATATAAATTAACAATATAAATTAAGTCACCCTGGCCAAATAATAAAATAAATAAATAATATTAACAATTAAAATAACGTTTGAATAAAAAGGTCTTCGCCTGGCACTGAAAAACAAATAACGACGGCGCCAGGCGGACCTCTCTGGGGAGCGCATTCCATAGGCGGGGCGCCACCGCAGAGAAGGCCCTCCTCCGGGTACTCGCCCTCCTAATGTCCTTCACGGAGGGCTCCCGGAGCAGGGCCTCTGCTGCCGATCTCAAGGGCCGGGCGGGCACGTATGGACGCAAGCGCTCCTTCAGGGAACCAGGAGCCAAGCCGTTCAGGGCTCCATAGATAGTCCAGACGTCAATCAGGCAGCTCGCAACCTGACTGGTGGAGTGGAAGGGTCGGCCAGCGAAGCTCGGTCCCCACGAAGCCCGTCCAGCCCTCACTGGAGGCTGGGGGGAGCTCTTGGCAGCAGCGAAGCCACACGGGCGACTCCTTCCTTCCCCCAGGGCCATGCTCACCAGCAGTGGCTGGAGCGGCGCTTCCGAACATGCGTTGCGCATCGCTGCTTCCTGGGTGCAGCGTACTGGGACTGGGCAGCTCCGTCAGTGACGTGTTTCTGCTTGGCTTTCAGTTTGCACTTAGCGTTATTTTTCAGGGCGCCTCCACCATGAATTTCCTCTAAGACGAGGCTGATGCCCAGCAGATGCACCCCATGGTCAGCCGTGACACTGTGCGGAGTCATAAACTGGGCAAGGAAGAGCCATGTATCAACTCATCAGAGGATTTCTCTAGCAAAATAGTGGGGTTCAGGGGTCCCATGACGCCATACAGGACAAGAACGTTGTGGGGCAGACAGCCTGCCTCAGGCATCCCAACCTTGCCACCAGGATTTGGGCCTGAAATACCCAGGAAAATTGTGGGTTTGGGGAAGGCAAGCTGTACGCAATTTGTAACATTCCATAACATCCTCATGGATTTTAGCTCACATTGGTTAAGACATCCGCCTTAGTTTCCAGTTTTCTGGTTTACACACTGAAAGATCTTTAAGCTGCTTTCAACTAACTCCTCTGTCTGTCTGTCTGTCTGTCTGTCTGTCTGTCTGTCTCCGCCCTCCCTCCTGCTCCACTCCTCTTGATGTCTCCCTCTCTCTCGCTCAATCCTGGCTTGGGTCGAAGTGGACATAACTAAAAGGCTTCGTCTAAACTGGATTCTAAATAAAGAGGCCATCTATTTATTTCAACACACTGCAGTTTTCTGGGATGAGTCAAGACAATTCTGTATAAAGCAGAAGTCCAGGATGGCTTGTGTGGAGAGCGAAGAGGAGGAGGTGAGCAGCACATTGCAATCCAGAAAAGGCAGGCGCAACCATGTGCAGTTTCATGACAATCGCACAGCTCATTTGGGGATCCTGCAGAAACGTGCGGCCATTGCAACCTCCTTGGCTTTTGCTGCTCCTTCATGAAGAGCAGCAGAGGAGCTTCACAGAGGCCTCTGGGTGGCTCTTGTGGGGAACAGCTCGCTGGATGAGAAGGCTCTTCCATCCAAACGGGCAGCGCTCTTTATTTTTACTGATTTATTCACAATTTTTTAATGCCATCCATTACTAAAAAAAGTCTCTGGATGGCTTACAAAGAAGGAAAAAACAAAACCACAGCAACAATGCACAGCACTTGCATCTAAAATAGTAATAAAAACAGGATAAAACCGATTAACTGGGCCTTCCGAGTCTGCCAGGGTTCCCTTTGACCCTGGAAGTGCTCTAGTGGCATTTAGGAACCATGTGCGCTGTGGGATGCCAGGCTGGCTGATCATAGCCTGCTTGGACACAGCTAATGCTGCCTTCCCTCCCGGTGCCCTCCAGATGGATCAGACTACAATTCCCAGCATCCCTGACCATGAGAGCGGAAGGAGGAGGGAAAGGCGCTGTGGGGGCTTTCTGGCAGCACACATCCTGGCCCCCCAGCCTCCGCTCTGCCCCCTGAAATGCCCCTTTCCTTCCCTCTCCAAGGTTGATGCTCTGGGGGAAGCCCCCAAACTGGGCAGAAGCCCCATTCTCCCCTCTCGATCGTGTCCCCCAGAAGCTGGCCAGCCACCACAATTAGCGACAATTTGCTCATTGGCATCTTAGTCCTGTGGGACACCTGCGAGGGATCCTCTCCCCAGGAAGGGATAGTCCAGAAGGACTCCAGGAGAAGGAGGTGGCCCTGCCTTTTCAGGGCCGGGTGCCGCACGGACCCCTCGTTCCCGAACGAGGCTGTGCTGCTTGGGCCCAGCTTCCCGGGAAACATTTCCTGATCTGCGCCCTTTCCCTGCCCCTCCTCTGCTGCCACCAGGTATTCCTAGAAGATCAGATCGAGACTGCTCCGTGGGACTACTGGATCGGGACCTATTTCTTCAGGGAGTGGAGGTGTGCTGACAACTCTCCATTAGGAGCTGGGCAGCAGTGAGTACGAGAGCGGAGCATCTCTGCCCGGAGTGATTCCTTGTCTAAAAAGAGCCGCAAGGAGGAAGGCGCCATTTCGCCCCATGGAATGAACATGGGATGCCACGCCGTGCCCGACTCGGTCGCACGAGGAGCGCCCCTGCCCCAGAGTGGACCACTGGAATGAAGTGTGGGGGGTACCTGATGTATGTTCAGGTCCAAGGGGGGGGTCAGCTGGGTGATGCTGCTGCGGATCCCCCCCCCCCGCTCCCTCCACCCGTGCCTGGGCGCAGCCTCCCAGGGGCACATGTGGGAGAGGCAAGAAGCAGCTGGGGGGGGGGGCAAGGACTCCACGCTTGCCCCTGCTGCTCGCTCTTGCTGGTCAGAGGAGTCACACCTGGAAGGCTCTTGTGCTCGCAGTAGCCAAGGCAGGGGAGGCGGTGCTCACGCCCCTTCCCACACCCCTGGCAAGCCGCACTCTGGGCTGGACCTTGGCACCGGCTGGGTCGCGGTCTCCATGCTCAGATGGCACAAGAAGCCGCTGTCTCTGGAGGCTGAACTGACCGTGCCGAAATACCGCAGTGGAATTCAGCCGGCACGGCCCTGCAAAGCCCACCCCGGCTTGTTGCGTTGGGCGAACTTACCCACTGCGTCCCGACGTGCCGGGCCAAAGTGTCAGGAGTGAGAGACTAAATGGAACGCTCCTTTATTTCCCCAGAGGTTGCAGAGAATGTGAGAAAGAAATGCCTGCCTTCAGGGTGGGTAGATGGGCATAAAATCTCTCTCCAGAAGGCAGTGCATGAGAAAGAAATAAAGAGGAGGTGGAAGAGAGAGAGCAGGACGGAGGGACTCTCTCTCTCTCTCTCTGTGTGAGTGTGTGTGTGTGTAAGAAAAAAGAAGATAGAAAGAAAGATGAACACACAAACACTTGCTCTCAAAAGCAGCTTTGTGGTGCTTTACAAAGCACTTTTAGAAACTCCTCATTCCTTCCAGGAGAGTCGAACTGAACGCAATGCCTTCTTTGTTGATTTCTGGTGAAGAAAAGAAAACAGGACCGTGTGTTCAGCCACGCAAAGGCCGGGCTTGCATGGTGCAAGAAGCAATGGGGGTTTAACCCTTCCTGGTCATATCATCTGAGCCCCACCATGAAGTTCAGTGTGGTACATTGGGGTTTGAGAAACAAGACAAAAAGAAGGGGCTGCTCTCGGGTTTCTCAGTTCCGTAACTGTTGGTTGGCGTTATCTGAACTGGGAAACGTAGCTTGTCATGACACTGTAAGTCTATTTAAACAGGAGTGGGCAGCAGCCTTTATTAATCTAAGTGGTGGAGCATAAAATAGCCATACAGTTTAGAAATATTACTCTCGATTGATTGATTCAGTGCTGTGCTTTTAAAATATTTTTTAGATATTGGCAGGACAACAGGCCATTCAGTCCACGAAATCGATCCTGCACTGTGCTGAAAAGGTCCTGTGCGACGCCCCTGAAGTGCTGGGACAACGTTCCGTGCAAGGGCAGAAGAGGGTCCGTCTGCAAGAAGAAGCCGGACCAGAGGTGGTACAAATCGAGCGCTTAGCGCCGATGGAACGGCGCTCCCCGGAGAAACGGGTCCAGGCACAGGCCAAGGTCCCGGCAGAGGGACCGGGAAAGGCTCAGGTCTGCGGTATCTGCCCGCAAGAGCCCGATCCACTCTCCTCCTCGACACTGGGGAAAGAGGTCTTCTTTTGCCGCCTCCGCTGCTTAGTTGGCCACAGAGAGGAGGAGGAGAGAGTCCGTCTCAGCCCAGCTCTGGGGCAATAAATTAATTTGGCACATACCAGCGTTCGCTTGCTTTGCACTCTGCCCTCTCGCCGGTGCGTCTCACCTTATTTAGTTCGTTTATTTATTTAAAACATTCGTATGCCGCCCAGTTGCACCACCGCGCTCTGGGTGGCTCACATCCGCAGGACAAAAACACGATAAAAGCATAACAAAAACAGTAACACATGAAAAACAACAATAAAATGCAGCAGAACGTATCAAACAAAGGTCTTATGGCAATTAGTTATGGAAATATATTTTTGAAAGGGAGGTCTTTGCCTGGCGCTGAAAAGAAAGCAAGGCAGGCGCTGGGCGGATCTCCTTGGGGAGAGCGTTCCAAATGTGGGGATATCCCTCTCCGTGTGAATATACCCTCGCGCTCTGCGTGGCCCAGGGCAGGCTTCCCGGGGGGCCACGGCTCCTCTCCCCAATGGGCCCAGGCCACGAAGGCCGCTCTGTCTGCTTGCGGGCAGCACATGGGACTGGAGCCCCCGGGAGGAGGCGCCCCCCCCCCAAAGCAGCACGATGGGGAAGTGTGCGGGGCACCTCGCTCCACCGCTGTGGGTCAAGCATTGTGCCCAGCATGGCGGCCAAGGGAGCAGCTGGGCTCCCAGGGCTGACGGCCCAGTTCAGACCAGCCTGGCCCCTCTCCGTTGGGCGAGCAAAGGGAGAATCCTTAAAAGAGATCGAGAGGGTGGCTCCCCGGAGGAGGGCCTTCTCTGCGGTGGCACCCCGATCGTGGAACACGCTCCCCGAGAGGTCCAGCTTTTGGCTTCAGGCGAAAACCTTTTTATTCTCCCGGTATTTCAACTGTTAACTTGTTTTAGTTAGTGGGTTTGTATTTTGACATTGGCTGCTGGGCAACTGTTTTTCTCATTTATTTGCTGCAAACTGTCCTGAGACCTCTAAGTACGGGACGGTATGGACAGGTTATAAATAAAGAAAGGAAGGGTCCAGTGGCCCCCTTCTAGACACGCTCGCTGCAGGGGTCCCCCTCGCCCCGGCCACGCCACGAGGGGCAGCGGCAGCAGGAGGGGGGAGCAGGGGCTCACCAGGAATCTCCTCCTGCTGGGAGCCGAGGGAGCTGCTGACGCCTGGCCCGGAGGCAGGGGTGCTCACAGGGCCCGGCACTCCGCACCGGCAGTGTGTGGGTGGGTCCGTGATGTGGGGAGCCTCCAGAAGGTTTGGCCAAGAGCTCCCTCAGCTCTGGCCAGCACGGAGGGTCATGGATCGCCCTCCCCGTGTTGAACGTTCAGGCAGACAAGACTCTCCGTTGAGCGGACAGGCAGAGCCCGCTTGACACCCCACGAGCGCAGGGCTGCAGAAACTGGCCAGCACCACTGTATGGACCGTGGCGAGACCCGGCGGGCGGTTACTCCTGTTCCCATGATGTCCAGGCCTCTGGACTCCAGCAGCTGCCCTCCGGCGGCTTCCCTTCCTTGCTCTGCACAAAGCCAAACCAGTGCTGCTGGGGTTCCCCGGCTACGTTCGACCCTGGCGAGCAGAACACTCAGAGACGAGGCACCAGGTCACACGCCCCGGCCGGGTTCACGCACCTTGCAGGGCAAGCAACCCTGCATGACTGCCAGGATCAGGCCCACGGAGGCCACGAGGCCCGGCTCGGAGAATGCAGATTCTCTGCGGTGGCGCCCCACCTATGGAACTCACTCCCCAAAGAGGTCCGCCTGGCACCGTCGTTACTGGTTTTTCGGCGCCAGGTAAAGACCTTTTTATTTAAACATCATTTTAATTGTTAGAATATATGATCTGGCCAGGGCAACTTCTTCTTCCTTCTCTCTTCTCCTCCTATATTCTTTATTTACTTATTTTATACTGTTAATTTTAATTTTATATTATTATGTTTGTATCTCAGTGTATTTTTTTGTATTTTTGTATTTAGTGGTAATTTATTATGTTCTATTGTATTTCAATGTATTTTATTGTGTTGTAAGCCACCCCGAGGCTTCAGCAAGGGGCGGCATAGATATGTAATCATCATCATCATCATCATCATCATCATCATCATCTGTGCAAACCACCGAGCAGACGGCTGCTTCTCGTGATGGTTTCTAAAACCAAACGTGCCGTAGTGAAAGACCATGATCGTTTCGGACGACACAACTGGCCCTCCATGACTTCTTGTTTGTGCTCACCCCGGGGCTGTGGTTAAGCACGCCTGTGGCACTGCGAAAATCTTCCTTGAGAAGAAGCCACGCAGATTTCTCACTAGCCTTGTTTGAATTCAATATTGCTCTCTAGAAATTTCTGTTGTATTCAATTACATTTAATTTCCATATTTCATTCTTTTATTAGCATTGTTTATTGCTCGATTTCTTGTTATTTTGGAGAATTCTCATTTTTGGGGTATTATATTTAAAAACGAAAACAAAAAATACTATATTATGTATATAATGCTTTCTAGTTCTGCCTTAGCAGCCCCCAAAATAATTTTCCTATTTTGGCTGGTCCCCAGCTGTAAAAAGGTTGACAGCACCGTGCTAAATGATTTCATTTCCCCTTGATGCTTTGCCACCAGGTTCCAAATGGGCTACCACCATTTCCTAAAGGGACGTGCATGGAGTTGCCATGGCTGACAGGAAACCCCGAGGCACCCCCAGCTGAGCAGCCTCCACATGAACATGGGGGACGCCAACCCCAAGAAGATGGAGGGGATCCCCTGCCAGCAAATAGCACTGGTGGGAAAGAGCTTGTGCGGCATATCCAAGGGGTTTCTGGGGTTTGGGATATATAAGCTGTGACAACCCAGATCCAGGCTGGACATCAGGAAAAGCTTCCTCACAGTCAGAGCAATACAGCAGTGGGACCAGCTGCCTGGAGGGGGGGGGGGGCTCTCCCACACTGGAGCCATTCAAGGAGAAACTGGGCAGCCCCCTGAGTGGGAGGGTGTAACTGGTGTCCTGCACCAGCAGAGGGATGGACCCGATGGCCTTCATGGCCCCTTCCAACTCTGCTATTCTATGATATATAAGAATAACCCGAAAGAGCTTTAGAATCTTGCCCCAATAGTGCTAGAACATTAATTTGAAAGAACTCTCTAAACAAACCCTCCTGCGAACATCAGAAAGGTATTCCAAATACCATGGCTGGTTGCAAACGTTCACTTATTTTCCAAAAGAGCTGATTTCCCCAGTTTTCAGTATAAACTTTTCCGTTTGCTATAATTTTTGCATCATCATCATCATTTATTATCATTCTTCCTTCTCTATACTGCATCCACCCCGCCGCCTTTGCGTCAGATGCCTTCCCAGGCTTCTGGTGTTCTGCCTCAGATGTTCTTCCATGGCTGTCGCCCGTGGTCCTTTTGCATGGTGGATGAGGGGCTTTTGGGAGTGGGGGTCTTCCAGGTGTGTCTTCCATAACCAGGTGGTGGGCTGTGGCTTCTGCGTGAAAAGGGAGGGGGAGCAAGATGGAGGTCTCCGCGTTTGGGCAGAGTCGGGGGCACTCCCGCCTCCTGCTTCCGCAGGCCCCCAGTCACAGCCAACGGTCATCCGGCGATTTCTTGCAACAAGGGCGCTCTTTGGAAAAGCAGGACAACGCCTTCCAGCAATAGTTTTGGCACCCGTGGGAACTGGCCGCGCAAGCCGGGCCTTTCACGGCAGCTGGTTCGCCACTGCGCCAGTAACTGAAAAGAGAACATGGCACCAGTCAAAAGAACAGACAGTTCACTTCGCCTCCACCCGCCAACATCAGAAAGAGGATCAGGATTGGGGCCCTGCAGTCCCCCCCCCCCTTCCTTGATATACAAGGGAGGCAGTGACCCTGCCCTGCCACATTCCTACTGATTCAGACCTATTTCATTACTGAACATCGACTACAAACTTTTTCCTTGAATAATGGCAGAAAGAGTAAGAAAATACATAAAAAAACAGATTCACACAGTCCGAACTGGCTTTGACCTAAAGAGACTGATGAAAGATAATATACACTTTGTGATTAACGCACTTGAATTTGTCAAGAAGAAGAAAGTGGCATTTGTCCTTTTAGATGCAGAAAAGGCCTTTGCCAATATGTCTTGGGCTTTTTTCAAATTCAGTATTTAGACTATGGGTCACAGGTCTGGTCTGTGTTTGGTAATCAGACCCATAAATCCATTTCTGGTGATTGTCAATGTCTTCTGATGTATCAGAACAGTGGAATCAGATCAGTTCCTCTACAGACATCTTTCTTTGAACAGAAAAGACAAGAAAACAAAGGCAGGCAGGTAGGGCTTGGGAAGCCACATCCTGCTAGGTCCAGTGAATGCAAGACGATGGACAGATATTAGTCAAAACCAGCAAAACACCTGAGAAATCTTCTACAGAGAAAGACGTAGAGAAGGTACGTTCACCAACTTACTACAGCGCAGCTTTCATCCCGCCAACCCACTCCCAGTTGCCGTACGTGTCTTTGTAAAGTGCAATCCAGTAGTTTTGCTTCAGTTTGTTGACATGCCCACTTACGAACTCCTAACAAAGAAGAAGAGGATGAGGAAGCACAGACAGGAAGTCCTTACTGGCAGGTGCTTCTGTGCAAGTCCTTCCAAACAATATTTCATAGAATCACAGAAGAGCAGAGTTGGAAGGGGCCATGCAGGCCATCGGGTCCAACCCCTGCTGGTGCAGGACACCGAGTCGCACCCTCCCACTCAGGTGGCTGCCCAGTTTCGCCTTGAGTGTCTCCATCGTGGGAGAGCCCCCCACCTCTCCAGGCAGCTGGTTGCACTGTCCTATTGCTCCGACAGTGAGGAAGCTTTTCCTGATGCCCAGCCCGAACCTGGATTGTCGCAGCTTGAGCTGCTTATTCCGTGTCCTGCACTCTGGCAGCAGCAAGAAGAGATCTTGACCTTCCTCTTTGTGACAGCCTTTGAGGTCCTTATAGAGGGATACCATGTACCACCCCAGTCTTCTCTCAAGGCTGAACATGCCCAGTTCTCTCAGTCTCTCCTCTCAGGGCAGTGTTTGCAAACCCTGGAACATTTGTGCTGCCCTCCTCTGGACCCTTTCTCATTTTTCTGCACCTGTCTTACACCTTGGTGGCCAGAACTGGGCACAGGATTCCAGGTGAGGTCTGACTAGTGAGGAGTATAGAGGAACCACTACTTCTTGTGATTTGGAAGTCATACTTATGTTAATGTATCCCAAAATAGCATCTGCCCCCTTTGCAGCTGCGTCACCTTGTTGGCGCATGTTTAGTCTGTCATCCACAAAAACTCCAAGGCCCTTCTCTGTTTCAGCTCTGGTGACCTACATCTTCCCGGCCTTGTGTTCCTCCGTGTTCCTTTGTTCTCGGTGGAGGACTTGGCACTAGTCCCTGCTGAATCTCCTTCTTTTGCGCTCAGCCCAGGGACGCAGCCTGCCTCCCCGGTTCGGGGCTCCCCAAGGCACTTCCCGTTTGACCCAGTGGAGGGAGAAGGAAGGGCTGTCTGCAGCAGCAGTGGGTGGGATCCCAGGGGCAGAAGGGGCGCCTGGAGGAACCCCGGTGGTGCCCCCAGCTGAGTTGGTGGGGTGCCTGGACGACACGGGCCGTTGGACACTGGTCGGTGGGCAGGACAGGGGTTCCTGGGCTGCCTCGGCCGGCACACGCCGGGTCCATACGGGCAGAGCTTTGCTCGCTGGGCACGTGGCTGTGGCTGGAAGGGAGCCTTGCTGGGAACCTGGCGTCTGCTTGGCTCTAGGCGACTCAGCAGAGGCAGGCGCCGAGCAGCAGGTTCCTCAAGAGGCTGGGCCGCAGCTCGTTCTCCAACTGGCAACACCGGCGAG